ATCGCAATGCGAATATGTAAATCGCAATGCGATTGTCGACTATCGCAATGCGAATATGTAAATCGCAATGCGATTGTCGACTATCGCAATGCGAATATGTAAATCGCAATGCGATAGTCGAAGTTCGCGTTGCGATAGTCGACTATCGCATTGCGATTTACATATTCGCATTGCGATTTACATATTTTGGACTATCGCAATGAATTTGGAATAAATCGCAACGCGAACTTTGACTATCGCAATGCGAACTTCGACTATCGCAATGCGAACTTGGACTATCGCAACGCGAACTTGGACTATCGCATTGCGATTTACATATTCGCATTGCGATAGTCAAAGTTCGCAAGTTCGCATTGCGATAGTCGAAGTTCGCATTGCGATAGTTGACTATCGCATTGCGATTTACATATTCGCATTGCGATAGTCGAAGTTCGCGTTGCGAATCTGGAAACTGATTTGCGATACCGGAGATCGCGTTACGAATTATCGATCGCATTGCGATTTAGTTGGTCATTTTGACAAATCCAAAACAAATTGGTTAAAATCGTATATTATAAAATTTTTTTGGTCAATGAGGTTATTTTCTCAATTTAAAAAACAAAATTAAATCTATTGATTTAAACCGAGTTAAAAATCGTCAATTTAAATCTCATTATTCTATAACGTGCTATTATTTTAGGCTTAATTGTACCATAAATGTTCAAATTATATCATTTTTTCAAATAGATGTCTAAACTTTTTTTGAATCATACAGGTGTCTAGTGTTACAAATATTTTCACATGGGTGTCTGAACCGTAATTTTCATTATATTATGTCTTTAAAAGACACGTGTCATATTCTGATAATTTTGAAAATTTTATTTAAAATGTAAAAAATTGAAAATTCTCATTTTGAAAAAAAAAGTTTGAACACCTATTTGAAAAACAGTTATAGTTTAGACACTTGTTTTATAATTAAGCCATTACTTTTATATTAATTTAATAGATTTAATTACTGTGTACTTTACCCACGAAAACAAACTTTGTGCGTCGGAAGTCAAAAAAAAGAGAAGAAACAGACAAAAAAGATTTTTTGAAGCAAGATTTTTTTCTTTCCCTTTTTCCTTTTGGTTCGAACAATTTAAGATTGTTACCTGCATACGGAGAGAGTACTGATATTTCCGAAAAGCTGAACCCCCCCCCCCCCCAAGGTCCTAAACAGTACGCGGTATCGTCGATGTCGTTGAATAAAAGGCTAGGAAAAAAGTTGGGTATTTTTCTGGGAAGGTGAAAGTTCAGAATTTTACAGAAATGATTTGAAAGCTGGTGAATTTGGAGTTTGCTGATAGATTGAAGAAAAGGGTAACAAAAAGTTGTTTCTTTTTTGAAGATCGAATCAAAGAAGTAGAAGCTACATGTAAAGATTGATCTCAGACCTTTTTCTTTTTCTTTGGGTTAATTTGTTTTTCATGGTGATCTTTTTGTTTTCACAGATTAATGGCGATGCCTGTCGAGCCACCAAACGGGGTACAGGCCGAAGGGAAGCATTACTTTTCAATGTGGCAGACCCTTTTCGAGATCGACACAAAGTACTTCCCGATCAAGCCTATAGGGAGAGGAGCATACGGCGTCGTTTGCTCGGCGATCAACAGGGAAACCAACGATAAAGTTGCCATAAAGAAGATCAACAATGTGTTTGACTATCCTGTTGATGCTTTGAGAACTTTGAGGGAGTTGAGACTTCTCCGACACATCCGGCATGACAACGTGATCGCCTTGAAGGATGTCATGATGCCAGCTCAGAGAACCAGTTTTAAGGATGTTTATTTGGTTTACGAGCTCATGGACACCGATTTGCATCAGATCATCAAGTCTTCTCAGCCTCTTTCTAATGATCATTGCAAGTATTTTATCTTTCAGGTACAGGGAACTCACCCTTCTCTTCTTATTGTGATTTGTTTGTGTTTCAGATGATAATCCATGAGTTTGCATCATTATTTTCATGTAATTATATGTATGTATTGTTCGAGCAACATAGCTATAGGTCATTAGAATTGTTACCATTTTGTTGTTTGATTTCTTCATTTTGCAAGGCCTTAAACAGTTATTCTGTAAAATGTCTAGTTAGCATTGATGGCTATCCTTTGATACTAGCTTTTGTGCATTTTTGGGGTATGGAGCTTTTATGAGTTCCCTGCTCATCCGGTCCGGATCTGCATTTACTTCGGCAGAAACGATGGGGCAACGAGTTATTAGGCTTAATATAACAACTTGTACTGCTGGAAACTTGTTAGTAGGTTCATTATGGTTCAAAGATGATGAGAAAAGCTCAACAGTTCAGAGACTACAAGTTGCTTATTTATTGTAGAGGAGTTATTTGGTTAGCGGTGTTCACAATCGTAAAGGCTCGAATAGTATCCGGTCTTCGTTTCTTTCTGCAAGGGTAATTCCGGATTCGATCAGTATTCGGTTCTGCTTTCTTTACGAGATGGTAAACAATAGTTTCAGATCTTCCCTTGTCAGCCTTTTCTGGTTGTTTACATAACTGATTCCTATAATAATCAGCAGGATGGAGTATGCATCTGGTTGTAATAATGTAGACATAGAAAACTATGTCGCTTCGGAGTTCACATATGTCGTAAAACAAACATAATCACGATCTCGTGTAGCACGTTATAAGTAAGATTTAAAGTCATTTTTCCATCTCATGTGCTCCATATATGCAATCTATGGCAAAGGCCTTTGTTTGATGTCTCTGCTTGGTTCTCTTTCCTTCTTCGTTCTCTCTCGTTCATGTCTCGTTTGGTTCATCAAATGCTAGTGGAACGGTTTCTTCGGAATTGCTGTGCTTTAGAAACTTGGTTCAGTATACAGTCTTGCTCTAAAGTTTCTTAAATTCTTTCATGTTATTCATTGCCTGCCTGCGACTAACCTCTAGTGCTTATTTTAGTTACTACGAGGGCTGAAGTACCTTCACTCGGCAAATATCCTTCACCGAGACTTGAAGCCTGGGAACCTCCTTGTGAATGCTAACTGTGACCTGAAGATATGTGATTTCGGGTTGGCCCGGACCAGCAGAGGTAACGAACAATTCATGACGGAGTACGTTGTCACACGCTGGTACCGTGCACCTGAGCTCCTGCTCTGCTGCGACAACTATGGGACCTCCATCGATGTTTGGTCGGTAGGATGCATCTTCGCGGAGATTCTAGGTCGGAAACCCATCTTTCCTGGAACAGAGTGCCTCAGCCAGCTTAAGTTGATCATCAATGTCCTAGGAAGCCAGCAAGAGGCTGATATTCAGTTTATCGATAATCCGAAAGCCCGAAGGTTTATAAAGTCACTTCCTCACTCTAGGGGCATCCATCTTTCCCATTTATACCCGCAAGCCGATCCATTAGCCATTGATTTGTTGCAAAGGATGCTTGTTTTTGATCCGTCTAAGAGAATTTCCGTCACGGAAGCGCTCCTACATCCGTACATGTCGGGGCTATATGATCCGAGGCGCGATCCGCCCGCTCACGTCCCGATCGATCTCAACGTAGACGAGAACGTGGGAGAAGATGTTAGGGAGATGATGTGGACCGAGATACTACATTACCACCCTGAGCCTGCATCTGCGACTGATTAGATGACAGTCTTGAGCTATGCTTGGTTTTGGTTGCTTTCAATATTATTGTTTAACGTAGACTTGTGTTTAATTTTACAATTAAATGTTAACCTGACATTTATAAACAAAGATAAAATAATTATTTTAGTCATTTATATCTATATATATATATTTTTATAAATTTGATTCTCTATCTTTAAAAGTATAAAATATATATATATATATTAATCGAATAATATATTTTTTAATCATATTTAACACAATAAAAACACTAGTTAAATTTTCTTATTCAAAGATTCGGTTATTGTAATGCTAGTTTGTCAACGAATTTATCAATGTTTATGTTAGTGTTTACGGTGCTTATCATTCATCATCAATAACATTGTTTGTTTGTATCTATCAGTTGTTTGAATTATTTAGTTCGATTTTTTATTATTTCTTTATATGATACTTTTTTTTTAATTTTTTAAGTGACTAATTTGTACATTTTAATGGTATGAAGAAGCACGAACCAACTTGTCTCATTGGTTAAAAGAATAGTTGTTGTTCTTAGAAGTCATGGGTTCTACCGTTCTAGCACCAATGCTTGCAGTAGGATGATTGAACGTTTATTATCAAATAGTTGAGAGTATCTAGAACATATACTATTTTATAATTACATTAGTTTAATAAAAAAATGATTTCACGAAAAATATACACAACTCATATGGTTCATTTACTCTTGTTCTTGTAAATTTCTCCTGTAATTTTAAATATTTTTATCCCTAGTAATATTATCGTATGTTAAAGACTATGTCTACAACAAAAAAGAGGATAAAGGAGATGCCAGCCTAGAAACAAAACTTATAATTTTATTGGATTAGCACCATTAATCCAATATTATAAAATCCAAAAGTTTCTTTCTTATTTTTGTTTAATATTCGGATACCCAAAGATTATACATTATTAGTATTACCAAAAGTTAATGTTATTCCGTCCTATAATTTGTGTCTTTTATTTATTATGCGTATAGTTTTAAGAGATATATTTAGCGGGACTGAGAGTAATAAATATAACAAACGTGTTTCATTTTAGGTATTTGTCAACGGAGCAGGCAAGCCTACTCCCTGTTAAACTCTGTCCTGAACCAGGACCAAACCAACTGCTCCATGTTAAACTTTGTCCTGAACCAAATTTGAATCATTTTAGGTATTGACTTGATTATAGCTTATTCGTGGAGTTGTCTATTGAATGAATGTTTGGATTTATGCACACACATGTTAACTAATTTCATTTTTAAAATCGATTTGAGTTTTAATTTTATTTGAATGCAAAATAAGAGCTGGATACCTAATCTAATAATATTCCAACTAAGTCTCCATTATAAATACCCACTATCCTCTTTGTGTGCTCCTATCATAGCAACGTTTCCAACAGAGCCAAAAGACCATGTCGAAAGCTATGGTTCGTTACATTATAGTTGTTGCTGTTCTTGCGCTTGCACTGGGTCATGTCCCCCATTGTTTGTCTTCCAAGACAGTTGGAGGAGGATACCTTTACCCTCAGTTCTACGACCATTCATGTCCGAATGCCCAAGAGATCGTGAAAAACGTTGTAGCCAAAGCTGTTGCGAAGGAGCCTCGAATGGCGGCTTCGCTTCTCAGGCTGCACTTCCACGACTGCTTCGTCAAGGGGTGTGACGCGTCGGTATTGCTAGACAGCAGCGGCAGCATAATCAGCGAGAAGAGGTCGATCCCGAACCGGAACTCGGCTAGAGGATTTGAGGTGATAGATGAGATAAAAGCGGCATTAGAAAAGGAGTGTCCTCACACAGTGTCGTGTGCTGATATTGTGGCCCTGGCTGCTAGAGATTCTACCGTTCTGGTATATTGTTTTCGGCCTTTTGTTTATATACATAAAGAGTGAAATAGAGAGAAATTGGACCGTGCTAACATGTTCTTTCTTCGGATTTGCAGACCGGCGGGCCTAGCTGGGATGTCCCTCTCGGAAGAAGGGACTCCACCGGTGCGAGCTTGAGCGGCTCAAACAACAACATTCCCGCTCCGAACAACACGTTCCAAACGATTCTCACCAAGTTTAAGCTAAAAGGCCTCGACATTGTCGATCTCGTAGCACTCTCCGGTAAACAGATTCGGTACCCCGTGTGCGCTTATGATAGATACGAAAACGCATACGGGGGCGATGGCCTCGACGCTAACAGAGTTCCTGACCTTATGTTTTTTCATGCAGGGAGCCACACCATAGGAAACGCCCGATGCACCAGTTTCAGGCAGAGACTCTACAATCAATCAGGCAACGGACGACCTGACTACACACTCGATCAATCCCACGCCTCGCAACTGCGTGCCAATTGTCCGAGATCGGGCGGGGATCAGAACCTGTTCTTCATAGATTTCGTTAGCCCGATAAATTTCGACAACAGCTACTTCAAGAACCTATTGGTGAACAAGGGGCTGTTGAACTCCGACCAAGTGTTTGTCAGCATGAATGGTGCATCGAGGGAGTTGGTGAAGAAGTACGCATATAACCAGGAACTCTTCTTTCAGCAATTCGCCAAGTCCATGATTAAGATGGGAAATATTTCGCCGTTGACAGGCAATAATGGTCAGATCAGAAACAATTGCAGGAAGGTTGATGCGTAAAACGATTACTTTTATGAATAAAGTTTGTGTATTATGTCACGTCGTGTGTTGTATGGATTATTTATCTGTATTTTGGACTAATTTAAAAAAGGGAATTTATTTTTTATTTTGGTTGCCCTTCCGGTTTTAAGTTTTTACCTTGATAAATCCGGACAGACCCTCGTCGCACATCTAGTTTTGGTAGATAAGTCTCCCAACAAAAATTTCAACATGCACAAGAACTCATATCTAAGACATTGCTTAATCGGAATCAAGTTACTTATCACATGTATCAACCACTGTTAATTATAATTTATATATATATATATATTTGTATATTAGTGTACCAACGCCGTGTAATGATGTTTAAGAAATGAGTTAATTACATAATTGATATTTTTATTTACGTTTTGCCCATTTTTTTCTTACTGAATTTAAAACACATAATATTTGATCATTTTTGTTTTTATTTAATTAAGATATGATCACTGAGGGTTGACGACATTTATTTAATTAAGATATGTTAGTGAGGGTTAACTGTCGTTAGATTTTAAACGGATTGCTTATGTGTCATAATGAATATATAAAATTAAAAAAAAGGGTAAACTACACAAATTGTCATTAATGTATGAGTAAGGTTTTGTTGTTCCCGCTAAAATTTAAAATTAACAAATTGGTCACTAAATCATCAAATAATTACTAATGATTCTTCTATTATCGTCCCAATCATCTATTAACCTATAAAAGTGGGCTACATAAATTTGATGAGGTATCTCATACCGATGAAGACGAGAATTCAAGGTTGAGAAAGTTCGGGAAATTTTCAATTCAAAGGTGTATTTTCTTTCTTTTTCATGGCTTTTATTTTTCTGAGCATTCTTCAACTTTTTAATGGGTGGAGTAAGGGATGAAGAATTCGCTTATGGATCAATTTGTTGTTTTAAAAACTTCAACAAAAAAATAGAAATTAATTCAAATATTTTGATCATTTGTGTAATTTATTATTTTAATTTATATATTTATTATGTCATATCAAATAATTTGTAAAAAATCTAACGGTAACTAACCTTCACAAAGGCAAAGCTCTATTTTTCATACGATACAATTGCAAGCATGCCAGGCTGAAATGTTAGGGGCAAGTGGGAGTCGTTGGAAGATGTGGTTTGTCCTAAACGCATCATTGTCTACTAAAGTATATTTTTTTACCGAGTTGTTCAATAAAATATTTTTGGCACGTTTAACCCTTGAAATTTAAATCGTTATTTCGTTTGTCTTAAACCGTTAACTCTGTTAAAAAATATCAGGATAAATTTCACATTTAGTCACTTAATTATTTATACGATCCCTTTTTGATCACACAACTATTTTTTTTCAAAATCATCATTAAATTTAACTTTTTATTTCATTTTGATCCCTCGTTTATTTTATCTTTATATTTACCCCTAACCCAGTTTTAAAAAAAATTCCCTCTCGCATCATTAACCGCTCAATTCTTTCCCGCAACCTTATTAGCTGCTGCTCCTAATTTCAAAAGCAAATCTTCAGAAAATGAGAATGCTGAAGGGGAGGCAAAGCAACACAAGTGCAGCACATGCAAAACATTTTTGGGGTATTCCGAGCAGTACAGGGATCACTTCAAGAGTGGGTGACACTAACATACTTTAAAATACAAAACCATGCAACTTTCTCCTCTTACTTGAGATGCTTTATTGATGTAAATCTTGAAGTAACTTTTTTTTTTTACCTTTTGCAATTACATTTAACACATACTTATATGGGTATAAGTAAAAAAAATAAAAAAGTGTAGCACTTAACATATACTTACACCGGTGTAAATATGCACATTTCCCAATATCTTGAAATTCATATAATTCTAAATTTTTTCATTGCATTTCATTTAGGGATGGGCATGGGACCCGACCCCGACCCCGACCCGATTGGATTGGATTGGGTTTTTTTTAAAATATGGGTCGGGTCAAATTCGGATTTATGGTGAAAAATACCATACCCGACCTAAAAAAATATAATTTTATCTTATACATTTAGGAATAATTACAAAAATATCCCTCTATATATATATTTTTTCAATTAAATCATTGTTTTTATTGAAAAAGTAATATTTTTATTATTATTTCGGGTTGGGTCGGTTCCAAATTTTATTTCAAAAAGTTAGGTCGGGTTCGGGTCGGGTTGGAGGGTATATATTATGCGGGTGGGGTCGGATTTCGGGTGGAGGAGTCATTGTTCTCGAGTCGAGTCAGGTGGACCAAAAATCCGTCCCAACCCGACCCATGCCTATCCCTAATTTCATTAATAGTTCTAAAGCAAAATAGGAGTCGAGTTAGTCAACTTGGAGAGTCCTATTTTCTCATTTAAATTTTATTAAAAATTCATTTTGACTCGAGTCGAGTTTATAAAATTCTAATTGCATTGAGTCGATTCAAATTGTTCAAATTTTTGTTCAAATTTAATTGTAATTGTTTATAATATTATGATATATATTGATTTCAATTTATCTATGTACTTTCTCTAGTCATATAAAAAGAAACCGAAGAAATGAAGAAATCATACAAACTTGAGAGACTAAATTTAACAGCTAAAAATATTGTTGTTAAAAAGAGAAATTGAAGAAACACGTGTATTCTAAAACAATTTAGAATTATGTGATTCAAATTTAATAAAAAATAAACTTAAAAAAAGAAAATTATTAGAAAAAAATAAGTATCAAATCATAAAATTATCAGATTACTTAATTAAGAACTCAAAATCTGAAATATGAGTTGAATCAAATTTTGTTCATTTTACTGCCAAACGAAAATTGGAATGGTTTCAACAACCAGTTGGTTGAGTGAGATGAGGCACTAAATTTCTTAAGTAAAGTCAGGAGTTCAAATTCTGATGATTATAAATTGAGTAAACTGAGTGACGAGAGTCATTAATAAGAACCGAAAATAGAAACACAGACCAAATATGACGGGCCCTTCAAACCTTCCAAATCTGAATCATTTTAATGTCCATTTAATTCGATTTAAAACTAACAAAGTGGGCCTTATTTCATTACCAAAAAAGTACCACTTTTAAAATTCTTAGCGGCATGGGAGGATGGGATCCATCATCCACCACATAGCATTTGTTTAAACTAATCATTGGGTTGTAATTCGTCATAAAAGAGAGTAAGAAACTGTTGAGAAATAACTCACGTCAAGTAGTATAAGTGGTAATGAAAAAATTATTCTCCTTAAAAATTTCGATTTAAACAACTACGTCGGTAGTATATGTTTTAGGGGTGTATTCGGTTCGGTTTGGTTCGGTTTTTTATCAAAAATTGAACCGAACCGAAATAAACGGTTTTTTAATATTTAAACCGAAATCGAATAGTTAAAAAACCGAAACCGGTTTTTTCGGTTCGGTTCGGGTTTTTTAACGGTTCGGGTTTTTCGGTTCGGTTCGGTTCGGTTTTTCGGTTTTCAATGAAAAAATCACTTGAAACTATAATTTTTTTTATAAAAATTGCCTATTCGGTTCAATATGGAACAAATGGGTTCCATATGGAAAACCCGAACCGAACCGAATCAAAAAATGAAGCCTTTAAACCGAACCGAAAACTGAACCGTTTAAAGCCAAACCAAACCGAACCGAACCGTTTTACTCGATTCGTGTCAGTTTTTCAGTTTTCTCGATTTCGTTGCTCACCCCTAATATGTTTATGTCATTAATAAATCGTACTTTTATGTTCGGCTTTTTCATTTCTGCATGTGAGAAATGCAAAACTTCCTCATTTCATAAATTATTTTATGTATAAGATATAAATTAGATTGACGAAACGAAGAGGGTCCCTCCTTTTTTATTTTTAAAATTATTTATTGTTTTTCTCAAAAAAAATTACTAAAAGACTCGTCACTTCAAAATGACGAGTTCATGTGTTATTGTACAATTTATCGCAAATTACAAAATAAAATCGGAGATGATCTGGCATGAGGTATTGGAGCAAAAAAAAACCCTAGATCCTAACCTAAGAACAGATGCAATTACTTGTTGCTTTATGGTGTTGCCTAAATTCAATTGCATACGAGTGAGATGATTGCAGGCAGCTGCACATGCGCCCTTCATTATATACGTTAGGTTTAGGGATTGAACCACTTTGACGACCCCGGTACCCAACTAGTTTGATACCAATGTACCATTAACTAACTTTAAACTATACAATTTCAATATTATATTTTCATGTTTTTTTTAATTCAATATATCTAGTAAACCTGTTTTTCAAAATTCATAAACAATTTCATTTAACATTTTAACCTAATAAATTATTATCAGTTCGAGATTTAATTAATGTGAGACACCATTCCCTTTAACGAGTTTATATATCATATATCATATGATAAAATTAAAAGAGATATAAAATTGAAGTAACAATGGTCAATGTAACATAGCCTAAACAATCCGAACAAACCCAGAGACCAACCTTTTAAGATACATAAATTCGGCTAACCAATACTATTCCATTTATGTGTGAGCTCAACATACCGTATGGATGAAGTAAGAGCTATAATATATATAGCAAGTCTTATCACCGGGTTTACTTAAGTGATAAACAACTTGATGTCGTTTAAATAAGATCTCAGGTTTAAGTTCTTGTGTATGCATAAAATCTCCGTTGAAATACTCATCCACCAAAATTAGATGTACGACCCGAATCGATCCAAATTAATCTGGACGAAACTTTGAAACCGAATGATGAAAAGAACTCTCTCGAAATAAATTAAAAATGTGAAGTTTTTTTTCAATTAATTATTCAAAGTCTATGGATTTTAATTATATATATATATATATTTTTTTCTTGCAACCAAACTCGGTTGTGATCAGCCTGACACAGCCTAAATCTATGTCTACATTGAGAGTCGAAAACATGTCACCATCAAGGAATAATAATAATTTCAAGATCAATACACACGTTGATGTATCCTTCGATCATGATAATATACTTTAAAAAGATCGTGTAAATATGTAGCCAATTAGATCAAGCAACTCTCAACTAACATCTCTCTTATAACAAGTATTCAAGTATTTTTAGGTACGAAGATATAAATCTGATATGAAGATATAAAAAAATTAATATTTTTTTTT